CACCTTGTTCGCCGCTTTCTCTGTACCTTGACACTCTTGAACTACTCTGCCCCTCCATCAATTATCACTGGATGAATCCCAAATCCACCCACTTCACCATAAGAATCGTGAATTCCCCTTCCATAACTTTCCTGCTTAATTAAATTAAACATCATTAGTCACTCAAACAAACAAACAAACATCACATCACCCCCAAATTCTATGTTCAATTTAATTTTTCAAAAACCAAAATCCTCCAACACAATTTGTTAATACATTGACCGTTTTAAGTAAAAATTTATTAAAACTGATCTATTACAATATAACTGATACTACATGCCAAAGGGCACGGAACAAGTCATAGGGCGAATCTAACAGTTGGTGAGAATTAATAAGAAAAGATAGATGAAAAAGGAAAGGGAATAGTACATACGATGCATTCGTGCCAGCACTGGTCGGGGTCTAAGTTTGGCTTGTCAGGAGTGGTCCAGGGAGACTTTTGGCTAGCCCAGGCGATAATCACTGCCTCATAATCAAGCTGCAACGATATCTTCTTCTTTTTCACCTCATCATTCTCTCTCGGTTCTTCTTCATTCTCCTTCCCCAATTCCAAATCACAAACCCTCTCCTTCACCTCTTCACACGTATCGTAATCAAAGCTAAACTCAAACGATACATCTCTTCCCACCATCTCCATCTCCATCTCCATCTCAGGGTCTCTTCCTCTTCCACCTTAACACCTCCCAACTACCCACTGAGACACTCATCCTCTCTTCGCATAAATCAGCTCCAGATCCCTCCATCCCCTACACACTCGTTTTCAAGTCCCATACCAGTAAATTCTCAACATCAGCGACAAATCAGGCAAGTTCGGACATCGAGAAGGAAGCAATACCCCACCCCCCCACCACCAGAAACCCGCAACAAAAGAAAAAAAAAAAGAATACCCAACAGAGGAAAAAAAAGACACCACACCAAACACACAATCCCCCCCGAAAAACGCCCCGACCCCCGCACCCAACCACCGGTGCAAGTTTCCATCTCTTATTACTGTCGATATAAAACATTAGCTCTCACAACCTTTGTTTTCGAGCCTCGGCCCACAGCAGCTGCCACTCCTTGATCGGTTGAAGTCACCGAAGAAGGAGAAGAGCTGTTATTCCCACATAGCTCGGCAACAAAAGGTTCGAATATGGGGACCCTGTAAAGAAGCTGCTCCTCGTTCTCGTCATGGGAATTCACCTCTTCCGAACCCACTTCCGGGACCAGATGGAAGGGGTTGTTGCTACGAGAGTGTTTCCCGTGTCTGGGCGTTCGAGCTTTCTTAGTGGGCCACGTGGGAGGTTGTTGTTGTTGTTGTTGTTCGTCGGTGGACCTGTACGACGCCGTTTTCAAGCGGACTCTTTCGTGTCGGCGAGCCAAAGGATTGGCGGAGTGAACCGAAGAGTCACAAGCTTGGCAGAGAAAAGCATCATCGGCAGCACAGTACCAACGTGCCCGCTTGGTTATGCAGCTGTCGCATGCTCTTGCGGTTTTGCCTCCAACCGCGTTTGCCGCGTTCTTTGCCGTACTCATCAGAACTCAAACAAAATTCGAAGGCAGATATGAAACGGGGGGATTGGTTACAGTGTGGGTTGGCTACAGAGGAGGGAATACAATACATGATTATGATTTTGATGAAAAAAGGGTGGGTGTGAGTGTGAACGTGACCCACAGGAGACGCTTTTGCATTCCATTTAACAGGGAGAGATTGTTTGGGTTTGCACTTTTGGGACCTCTAACAGTGAAAGGGAGTGAACTTTGGGGTCCACGGTGGAACGCCTTATCTGATTTTTCATTGGTAGAACATGGAAAGTTCATCCTATTCTCCTGGTTCTTATTGGGTGGATTTCTAATACAGAGCGATTTCTCGTGGTGACCCATTGCCCTGTGAAGCAGGAGCATGGGACTTTCAAATTTAATCTAGATCAGGAAACAAAAACAGTTAGTTTCTTTTTTTTTTTTTTTTTTATTTTTTTTTTATTTTTTTTTTTTTTTTTTTTATCCACTCCCGTCTTGCTAGAAATATCTGAGTGAGATAGATTTGGTAGTTTCTGTTGCCTCAGCCTCGCAGTGACGTTAAAAGGGTAAGACTTTTGTTCTGTGGTCCCCTTCATCCTTTTCTCTTCTTCCCCATTCACTTTTCTGGCATTTTACCAATTATATCTATTTCGTTCAGTGCGAGAGCGTAGCCAATGCAGTCCCGCCAGCTAAATCTATACCCTACTTCGATTTGTCTACACCTCCTTGCTGCTGAGTGTGTATACATGACTTCCATCCCCTTAATTTTGGATAATAACATCTTTATCTGGAAACAACCACAAATGTGAGGCATCCTAGTAGAATCGGGGTATTTGGTCCAAGTCCCTTGAAGACAATTGATAGACAATAATCATGTTTTTCCAACTTGGGGAGATGCCAAACAAATTAACATGTCACGCGCACTAAAACGTTTTATTTAGAAATTATTAATAAACCATGTCACAGTCCTATACTTCTATTAACAAACAACTCTTGACTGCTTTGATGAATTTATACTAAAATAAAATAAACATATATAAACTTTAGTTCTATATGGAAAATTTGCAGAAAACGTGCAAACTATAAGGTTTTGGATTACCAACGTCCATTTGGTCGTATCATTTAATTTGTTCTTCATCTACATATACATATATTGAAGTTAGAAAACCTTTCTTGAAATAAAAATATCCATAAATGTCTTATACGCAGTCCGTGAACATTTTTTTAAATATTCATTTTAAATAAAAAACTATAATGAACTTTTAATTTATGATAAAATTAAGTATTTTTAATTTGTTAGAAAATTATATAAAATATTTTAATCAGACTAACGTAGACTTTATAATAGTTTTAATAAACTTGATTATTTGTTTATATAAGATAATCATTTAATTTTATTGTCCGAAAAATTCATCTAAATCTGACTCAACTAAATACGACATCTCAATTTGAAATTTTAAAATAATAAATTTATTAGAGTTGTCAAAACGGGCCACCCGGCCCGACCCGGTCCGGTCTACCACGGGTTGATCACTTAGTGAGTCAACCCAACCCAGCTCATTTATTAGCGAGTCAGAAAAATCGCAAAATCGGCCCGACCCACACAGTTAGGGTGGGTAAACTTCGGATTGTGACTCACTCGTCAAGACTTAATTACAATTTTTATTAAATAAAAAAATTAACAACATTCTATAATTCAAATCATAAACAAATTTCACTACCCAACATGTGTTAATTAATTTTGCAAATAAGGAACTAAATAATTGTTTGCAAGCAAAACAAAATATAAATATTATTTTATAAAATTAAAAGTTTTTAATTTTAATAAAATAAAAGTAGTAGGAGAGTTGGTGGCCGCCAACCCGGCCGAACAACAGGATTCAACCGCATGCAGCTGGTTTAAATCTGACTCGCATACAACAATGTAATTTTCAAACCCAACCGCTCAAACCCGTGAGAGCCGGTTGACCCCGGAGTTAGGGCCCCATCAGCCTCTAACATGTATGAATAACAAGTTTATGAATGTGTTTATTTACATGTGTTTATTTATTATTTCGGGAAATAAACTTAACACATTCTGAACCAATTAGTTATCGCTTCGAAGAAAGACTATTATATATAGTATAGATATATCTATAAGTATAGAGATGAAGTATATATATATAGTAATTATAAAAAAAACTTTAATATAAATTTTATTAAAATTAATCTAATATTTTTACAATTTGGTTAGATTTCATATTTATTATGTCATGTTTGAAACTTTATCACAAATGTATTATTTTATTAAATATTATAATTTTTTAAATTATATAATTAATAAATAGATTATAGTCAATAATTATATTAAATTATATTTTATATATTATATATTATATATTTTATTTAATAACATAATAATAAATATGATATAAAAAATATTAATTTAAATATAATAAAATTATAATATATTGTACTATCTAATAAAATATATAATTTTATATGTACATAAATTATATTTGTTTAAAAAAATTAATTAAGATCTTATATTAAGATCATATTTATCTTAATCCTAGTCTTAATTCATCTAAGAGAAAAGTTTAAAGACCGAGGCTTCTTTTTCAATTCCTGGGAAGCCTCCTAAAATGAACTTTTTCAAAGATTCATTAGGATTGATACCATGCATCCACCTAATTTTTTGAGATTAATAAACGTGTTTTCTATTTTTAAATTTTGTGTGATTAGAAATTAAAAATTATATTGTTGAGAGTTTAGATATAGAAAAACTTCTATTAAACAGAAATACAAGTGATTAAGAGATAAGATATTGGGTTATTGAACATTTAACAGTGGAAATGTTTACTTAAATAGTAATACGATATAGAATGTCAGAAGGACTGCTATTTTGCGAATGAGAAATTACCTGATGGCGTGATTTCCTTTTTTCTTTTCGATCTTTTGTTGTTTTTCTTTTTTTTTTTTTTCCTGTTTTTTTTTTTTTTTTTTTCCTTGGATAGATATGTATGATAGAAGTCTGTTTGAATACTCTGTTGGTTCGTTCATTATTTATGCTAGGGAAACCTTGCAACATTCTTTGTTGAATCTGTGCGGTGATTATGATAGATATTTATTGGGTTTTTTGTTGGTTTCTTCATTATTTTTTGTTTTTTGTGTGTTTTGTGGGCAGTGTTTGATATGTGTTGTCTTCTTGGTAATCTGTAGCCCAATGTTTTATAATTGTATCTTATTAGTGAATTTGATTTTTTTTTTGTTTGTTCGTTTGCTCCAATATCAGACAAAGAAAGAAAGTGTTATATATAAATCGAGGTGGGTGTTCCGAACAGAATAGCCGCCATAAGAAGGAAAATTGTTCCTTGTATATGGATAAACCACTATAAGATGCTAAGGTCCAAAGATTAGAAAAATCATTCCAAAGTTTGATTACTTGGCATGAATTAGACCGCTTAAATAAAAGTATATTTTAAACGTTAGAGAAATATGATGATTATATATAAGTATTGTTATCGTTATAGTTTATTAAAGAAAGTTATCCGTAATGATAAAGAAGTAAGCAGTTAAGTTATAGATTAGAAACAAGAAAATTAATCAACAAAGCATAACTTAATATTTTAAACACTTATTATAGTAGAGTTTATTTCTTTGTGACGATATTTTACGTATTAAAACATCGGATTATTTATGTATCTAGATAGCAAGAATCTAGAAATATAAACGTGAAAATCATCGGATCGTGCTTTTATTTTCCCAGGATGAATCCACCTTAAGTTTACTTGCATGAAATGAATCTGTTATAAAAAAAAAGGCACATAATATAGTAAATAATATAAAAGAACAATAATTTTTGTATAAGTGACAGTGAAAATAGTGATGGAAAAAGAGAAAGAGAAAAAGGAATGGATGTAATTATATACAGTGACATGGAAAGTAATATGGATAAGGATTTGGGAATTATGAAAGAGTGGAAGAAGGGACAGTGATGTAGAGAGTTAGGAATTCTGAAACATGAATGACTCCAACGTAAAAAATGGAGTGTGAAATGCAAAATTTGGCAAGCATAGAGAAGGAATTGTGATGGAGAAATATATTCCTGGGGCTGATAACGACAATACCATTCCCATCTTCTTCCCTATCACGTGTCAATTTCGAATCTTATTCTCTCAGATACTTCATACTCAAATCTACACCTTAAAACATAAATACACATTAAACCAACTACATTTTTTTTATTACCTTGTCGTTTTTTACAACATCCTTCAAAAATGTAAACTTCTGTCTCTTACCAATAAATTACCAACTTTTGCAAATCTGGCATTTTCTCTATGTATTTCACGCTGTTCTTTAGGCAAAAATAAAAAATCATTAACTTTACCAAAAAAATACATTCGATTAAACTTTAGAAATAATATTTGCTTTATAATTTCTCTACGGAGAGACAGAAACACTCACTCTCAAAAAATAGAGACGGAAAGGGAGAAAGATATTTGTTCCGTTGTTTCAGAGTAAATCAAATGTGGAAAGGGCAAAAATGTCAATGCCTTTATGACAATTTTTTATTAGAGTCATTTTCGCGACCAACTTAATTAATAAATCTATTAAATTATTAATTACGCTTTATTTTATAATTTATTTTTATAATTAGTCTATTACTCTCCTCTCTTTTTTTTTCATAACATTTGAGCGTAGGATGGCAATTTTACCCGCGGGCACGGGTATCCGCGGGTAAAATCGCGGCGCGTAGTAACTATCCGCGGATAACGGGTAGCGAATATTTTAATACTTGCTTCTAAACGGGTCAGGTACGGGTAGTATACTACTCGCCTCGCGGGTATCCGTTACCTGCAAAAGATTAAAAAATAAATAATTTATATATTTTTTAATTAAATTTAATTAAAAATAAAATAAAATTATATTTTATTAGTTTAAATTTAATTAAAATTAATTTTATTTACTATTTAATTATATATATATATATATATTTGTATTTTTATTTAAATTTTATTTTTAAAATGTATTAAATATATTTTTTTAATATTTTGCGGGTACCTGCGGGTTTTAAAATACTCGCAGGTATTTTTTAAACGGGTACCCG